TCTTCCCACCTCAGACTCCGAAGTAGCTAGAACTACAGGCACGGGGCACCACGTCTGGCTAATTTTTCTATTTTTTTTTTTATAAGAAAAAGAATAAAGAAGAGGAAGAAAGAGAAAGAGGAAGAGGGAGAGAGGATGGGGGTATTGCTTTATTGCCCGGGCTAGAATGCAGTCTAAATATGGGTATGCCTATAATTGTCCTATAATGGAGACATAAAAGAAAATGAGGGAAGAGAATAACAAACAAGGAGCCAACCAACATTTCGTTTAAACGTCTAAGTTGATATGATGTGGTACTGATAAGAGTGTATTTTTTGTGTATTTAAAGTGGAGAGTTCTATAAATATTAATTACGTTTACTTGTTCCAGATTCTGAGTTCAAGTCCTGGATATCGTTGTTAATTTTCTGTCTCATTGATCTGTCTAATATTAATGTTGAAGTCTCCCACTATTATTGTGTGGGAGTCTAAGTCTCTTTATTAGTCTTGTATGTCTGGGTATTCCTGCATTGGGTGCGTATATATTTAGGATCTTTAGCTCCTCTTGTTGTTGCATTGATCCTTTTATCATTATATAATGTCCTTCTTTGCTTCTTTTGATCTTTGTTGCTTTAACGACTATTTTATCAGAGGCAAAAATTGTAACTTCTGCTTTTTATTTATTTATTTTAGCTGTCTGGTTGGTTGGTAAATCTTTCTCCATGCCTTGTTTTGAGTCTTTGTGTATCCTTAAATGTGAGATGAGTCTGGATGCAGCATACTGATGGGTTTTAGTGTTTTTTTTTTTTGAGAGGGAGTTTCGCTCTTGTTACCCAGGCTGGAGTGCAATGGCGCGATCTCGGCTCACTGCAACCTCAGCCTCCTGGGTTCAGGCAATTCTTCTGCCTCAGCCTCCTGAGTAGCTGGGATTACAGGCACGTGCCACCATGCCCAGCTAATTTTTTGTATTTTTAGTAGAGACAGGGTTTCACCATGTTGACCAGGATGGTCTCGATCTCTTGACCTTGTGATCCACCCGCCTCAGCCTCCCAAAGTGCTGGGATTACAGGCTTGAGCCATTGCGCCCGGCCGGGTTTTAGTTTTTTATTCAAATTGGCTGGCTGTCTTTGGATTGGGGGATTTAGTCGATTTAAATTTAGAATAATGACATATGTGAGTTTAATACTGCCATTTAATATTAGCTGGCTATTTTGCCCATTAGTTGATGTAAATTCTTCATTTTATTGATGCTCTTTTAAGTATTTTTTAGAAAGGCTGATACTGTTTGTTCCTTTCTATGTGTAGTGGTTCTTTCAGAAGCTCTTGTAAAGCAGGCCTGGTGGTGATGAAATCTCTGAGTGCTTGCTTGTTCACAAAAAACTTTATTTTTCCTTCACTTATGAAGCTTAGTTTGGCTGGATGTGAAATTCTTGGTTGAAAGTTTTCTTTAAGGATGTTGAATATTGGTCCCCACTCTCTTCTGGCTTGTAGGGTTTCTGCTGAGAGATCTGCTGTAAGTCTGATAGGCTTCCCTTTGTGGGTAACCTGACCTTTCTCTCTGGCTGCCCTTAGTATTTTCTCCTTCATTTCAACCCTGGTGAATCTGACGATTATGTGCCTTGGAGTTGCTCTTCTTGAGGAATATCTTTGTGGTGTTCTCTGTATTACCTGGAGTTGAATATTATCCTGCCTTAATAGGTTGGGAAAATTTTCCTGAATAATATCCTGAAGCGTATTTTCCAGCTTGGATTCATTCTCTTCGTCACATTCAGGTACACCTATCAAGCGTACATTAGGTCTTTTCACATAGTCCCATAATTCTTGAAGACTTTGCTCGTTCGTTTTTATCCTTTTTTCTCTAATCTTGTCTTCTTGTTTTATTTCATTGAGTTGGTCTTCGACCTCTGATATCCTTTCTTCTGCTTGATCAATTTGGCTGTTAAAACTTGTGCATACTTCACGTAGTTCTCGTATTGTGTTTTTCAGCTCCATCAATTCACTTATATTCCTCTCTAAATTGTGTATTCTTAACATTTCGTCAAACCTTTTTTCAAAGTTCTTATTTTCTTTGGATTGGGTTAGAACAAGTTCTTTTAATTCACAGAAGTTTCTCATTATCCACATTTTGAAGCCTGCTTCTGTAATTGGAACACACTCGTTCTCCATCAAGCCTTGTTTCGTTGCTGATGAGGAACTGTGATCCTGTGCTGAGGGAGAGGCGTTCTGATCTTGGGTATTCTCAGCCTTTTTTGGCTGTTTGCTTCCCTTTGTTATAAATTTATCCATCTGTGGTCTTTGTATTTACCGTCTTTGTAACTGGTTTCCTGAGTGGACGTCCGACTTATTGATTCTCAGCGCTGAAATCTGAGCAACCCACTGCGCCGACCAAATCAGCGGCGTTAAGATTGATGGTGCTTTTCTGACTGCACCAAGAACCGACGCTCCGAGGCACCGGCAAAACCGCCTTGCCGGTTACAAGAGTCACGCTGGCGACCCGTGGGGCTCCTCCGCTGGGAATCTCCTGGTGCGTGAGCAACAAGAATTAATGTGAAGGTGTGGCGTTCTCTCGTTCTTTGCGCTTTCACTGGGAGCTACAATCCCGAGCTGCTAGTGATCAGCCATCTTAGATCTCTCTCTCCGGGTTTTTCAATTTAAAAAAAAAAAAAAAAAAAAAAAAAAAAAATATATATATATATATATATATATAAAATTTGTTTAGATATGGACTCTCAGGCTGTTGCCCACGCTGGAGTGCAGTAGCACAATCCTAGGTCACTGCAGCCTCCAATTCCCAGGCTCAAGCAATCCTCCCGCCTCCACCTCCCCACTAGCTGTCAGGCATGTACCACCAAACCCCACCCCAAGCCCACAGCTATTAAAAATTTTCTTTGCATCACATGCCACAGGTTTGAGAAGAAAAAAAAAATTTTTTTCATAGAGATGAGGTCTCACCATGTGGCCTGGTCTCAAACTTCTAGGCTCAAGGGATCCTCCCAGACTGGCCTCCCAAAGTGCTGGGATTCTAAGCATGAGTCATGGCCCTTGGCCTTCCCCATTTTCAAACGTGCTGTGTTGTGATGTGGCAGCTGCCTGCATCTTCCAAAGCAGCCCTGATGAAAACCAGCACTCCCCGTTACATCTCAGAGACCTGAACTTCTGAAACCGACTTTCAGAGAATAATGAGACAGGTTTCTGAAGACTTGGCCTCCCAATTCCCAGGAAGGGCTCCCATCATTCACTTATTAAAGTGTTTCAATTTTTCAGTCAATGTTACATGTTTAACTGTAGTTGTAAATATAAGGCCTACTGCATTCCCATCTCCTACCCCAAAGAAAACCAATTTGAAAGTAAAACCAAAAGCTTCTTCCTTTTACCTCCATATTTCTAAGTAACATAGTGCTCTCGTTTTCAGCTTTGGACATCCTTTGTTGAGTTCCTTCTAAGAACGAACAAGAACTTGGCTCTCTTACCCTCTACCAATACACAGGCACATTCCTTCCCTCTTCCAGTCTCCTCCGTGAGATCCCGGTACATTTCCCCAGAGCACTATTCACTATTGTTTGTATGTGTTTACATTATTTGTATATAAATATTATTCGCAGCTGAGTGACAAAATTTGTGGCTCCTCTTCCTGGGTATTTCTGGTTGGGTACTAATATGTTATTATTTGCTTAATTGTCTGTATCTATCTCTGATTCTTTGACCTTCTCCAGGCCCTCTGACAGGCCCCAGTGGTGACAAGACATGGGGCCACCTTGCAGGCCTGGTGTTATGTACCGAGTACCTCCGGAGCACACCCCGGGTCCCAAGGCTCCGTATGTCTTTCTCCACTCACTCCTCCCTTGCTGGAGCCTCCCCACTCGTAGATGAGAACAGGTGCACGGGAAGTCAGTTATTGAGACTCCTGTAGACTTCTCCAGGTTATTTCTGACTGTTGTGCCCATCTGGGGCCCTCTCTCTTGGTGACCCACTTCTTGGGGCTAGAGGGGCTGCTCACAGTTCCTTGAATGTGCTCCGATGGCTCCCTTGAAGACCACGGCCCCCTCCCACCCCTGGTTTTCTGTTTCTCACACCACCCAGCAGGAAGGTTTCTCCTTCTCTTCCCACCATTCCCTCTTCTTGCTGTGTGTGTGTGTATATATATATATATATATATATATATATATATATATATTTTTTTTTTAAAAACGGAGTTTCGCTCTTGTTACCCAGGCTGGGGTGCAGTGGCGTGACCTCTGCTCACTTGTGGTGTTTTGTTGGCATAAAAGCCCTTCTGAAGCAATCAGGAGGGAGCTGATGCAGACCCAGTTCCTGTGGGCCGAGGGGCAGAGTGCAGCTCACTGCTGCCCGCAGGCCCGCACCGCACCCAGGCCACCCAGCTCTCTCTTGCCCTTTGCCCACGTGGTGCTTCACTGCCACTGGGGACTTAATTTCCTCTGAGGATTTTTCGTCACGCTCGTGACAACTATGTGGTATCTTTGTCCCAAAAGTACTGGGGGCAGGTGCTGCTCCTGTGCCTTGCTCCTACCTCCCAAATGTGTTTTTAAACGTTTACAAATGTTGTAAGTTCATTCTATACACCAGAGTACCACAGCACACACTTCTCTCAAAGCCAGCCTTCAGGAGCCTTCGTCATCACCCTGGAGGCCCTTCCTAGGGTGGGGTTCAGGTCTGGGAGATGCTGCCTTCCCTCAGGACCCAGCACCCGCCCCCCCATGCTGGGAGCCCTCAGGGTTGGGGCTCCCCTAGTATGTAGCGTCCTTGGCACAGGCTTGGCTTGTAGACCCACCTTTAGCCCAAGGCCAGTCCCACAGCTTCCCAGGGCAGAGACCCCCAACGGAAAGCAAGGCAGTGGCTACTTAGCCTGGACACTTTCGGAACGAGTGCCCCCAAGTACTGCAAAGCGACTCTGCACACAAGGCCCCCATCTCTTTCCAGCCCTGGCCAGGGAGACGGCTCAGTTTTCCAGCAACCCAGGGGGCACTTAGGAGAATGGGTGAAACAAAGAAAACCAAACTTTCGTACGATTGGTTTAATTTTTTCAGCAGGAGAAAAAAGAATAAAGTTACAAGATTCTTTTAATATTTTCACAATGTTAAAACTAAAACTGAGCTCTAGGCTATGTGTGTAAGTAAATCTAGAACACAAAAGGGTTAAATAAGATTTTCTCTTTTAAAGATACAAGAATTTAAGCTTTCCTTACATTTAACAAACTTCACAGAGCAGATACTGCAGGGGAACAAGCCCTCCCCCCACCCCCCAGCTCTAAGTCAGGAAGCGAACATGGGCTTCGCCCCCCCAAGCCTGGCTCCCCAGGGCTCCTTCCCACTGCGGCCTCCACACTGTGGGCAGCAGGCAGGGCCTGTGGAGGGACAGGAAGGGCCCACACAGCCTCTTCGGGACCAGAGCTTGGTGGAGGCCTAGGCGGGGCTGCCTCACTGAGGATGGCCCGTACAGTGGCCAAGGGCTGTGGCTTGACAGCAGTGGTAAACGCTGGGCAGACCTGGCCCCTCCGCCCTGGGCTGCCCTAGAGCAAGACACTGGTCTGGGTCCTGAAGCAAGAATTAAGGCTGGGATTTTGCAGCGGATTCCACTCTGGTGGGGTGGAGGGTGGGAAGAGCATGATTTCCTATTTCAGTACTTGGATCAAAAAACATTTGCAGTTGCAGGTGTTCAGCTGTTAATTTGCAGACAGAGTTGAACCATTTGTTGTTTTATGAAAAGGAAAGTTGCTGGGTTAAACCATTCCAGTAGCCTCTGTGTGGGCAGATCCGCGCTGCCTCTGCAGGGGCCTCCTACCCTCACCGACCTGGATCAGATGCAGCACTAGGACCACTGGGACCGCTCACCCTGCCTGGGCTTTCAAGGGAACCCTGATCTGTCCAACCAGGCGCAGCCCCACCTGACTAGTGGTGATTTCCTAACGGGGCAACCAGGCCCACCTCCACCCTTCCCCACCTGGCCTGAGCAGCTTCAGCTGCACAACTCCTCCGTGAACATGAAGGGGCACAGGTGGAGAAATGTCCCCTCAAACCCTCACCCACCAGAGCAAATATCACTCTTGGAGCTGGGCTACAGCCACAAACTGCCGTTCTGGACAGATCCAAACCCACTGTCCCTGTGAAGCATGCTGCCTTCCCTTACTAAACTTGCTATGTGGTAGATGTGGACTGGGCGTCCTTGGACTACGGGGCTGCATAGAAAGGAGAATGGAGGCCGCGGCATCATCCTCTTGGCCCCTGGAGGCACCGGAGGCTCCAGCTGGAAGGGGCAGAGCCCGTGGGCAGCAGCTTTCCCGGCTGCCCCCAGCACTTCTACTGATTCTTGTTGGCTATGAAATGTCTTTTTAAAAAACTTCCAATATAGAAATCTGGCTGCAGAGACCAGTGTGCAGACCCGGCCACCGTGCTGTGCTGCCATTCGCCACGTCTGATCCGTGCCAGATCCCTGCACTGGCGAATGGCAGACCAGAGCCGGCGGGGGCAGGGCACTCTGGCCGCTTCTCGTGACCTTGGATCCCATGTAGAAAAGGCGGGTCTCATTCGTGGACTAGTCTTGAGTGGAGCTAATTTTCAAAGTGAGGTTACTGTTTCTCTTCTTGTGTGATGAGTTTTTTCATAGCAAGTCAGGTAAAAAAATTTCCGTTAAGAATCTGTCCCCCATCCCCCATTTCCAGCTCTGTGGGAGAGTGAGGCCACCACCCAGCCCAGCCATGTGGCCAATCTCAGCAGCCTCCCGTGGCCAAGGCACACGTGGCCATCAGGTATCCTGGCTACTGGGACTAAGGATAAGTGAAGAGGTGAAAGGCCGAACATTAAACAGAGTTTCTGGCAAAGCCATGTGCGTCGTGGGAACTTTAACACCAGCTTCTACTCCTCTATTAACTCAGAGTCTCCGTCTGGAACACTTTCCACTTAAGGCTTTTTTAAGTTTGACTCCAGCAGTGACAGGTATGTGTTGTTTTAAATCCACTAGCCATGCTCAAAAAAAAATATTCTTCATGTTTTAATTTTATACAATGGCTAGCAGGCACCTTAGTAACCAGCCAGAAATCAATTTCAACCACCATCAACCCCTAAACTACAGTACCAGGATGGCTGGCTAAAGAAAGGAAACGGACTGGCTGTAGTCTGACGCGTGCCCAGTACAAGGTGTCTGGCTGACTTTGTCCTAAATAAGGCTAACATTAGTGAACTAAGAACAGCGTCATGTGGTGGCCATGCCTGGCCTTCAGGAGCACCCCTCCCCGATGCGCTGGCAGGAGCGCCCCACTTTCCGGTCCAGCTTCACCATTTTCATGATGGCTTCCTCCCGGCCACGGCCCATGTGGTCGAATGTGCAGTCATGCTGCTCAGGGAGACGATGTAACATACAGAACACGTAACCTGCAGCAGTGGGAGAAGCAGAGGAAAGAGATTGTTAGGGTAGCCTCCAAGTGCGCAGAGCCTCACTCTCGCCCTTGTCCAGAGGATGGAAGGGCCTCCCAGTGGGTGGACAATGGTCACCGCAGGGGCTCCTGCTGCAGCAGAGCGCTCACTACAACACCCCGCCCATAGCAAGAAGGTCAACACTTTACATTCCACAACTGCTCAAGCCTATCCGACACCCTCCCAACTCACCAGCTGTGGCTGCTCAGAGGCTACCCCTGCCTGGACCCTTGAAGGCTAGAACCCTAAGGTGATGGCTGTGGTGAGATACAGCCTGTCCTTGGAATGAGTGGGCTTTGCGCCCCGCTCTTGCACCATGGAAGCAGAAGAGCACAGGCTGTCAGCTCAGCACTTTGGTTGGCTCAGTCAAACTGTGATTTCCACCACAGGATGCCCACCATTTCTAGGAAGCAGGAGAAATGATTACATCTTAAATGACATTCCACCTCCTGTACAGCCAAGGCTTGAGAGGATGGTGGGAGTGATCAAACCACAACCCACAAGTGAGTGGGAAAGGAAAATGGATGATTTCTAGTGCTAGAAAAGACCTTAGATAGAAACAAGAGGAAAGGACAGCAATGTTGGGCTCTAATCCCCATCTCCAAGGAACCTGGTATTTCCAACTCCACCGGTGGGTGGGAGAGGTTGAGATTCCCACACTCAAGGCCTCCCAACTGTCCCTTCCTCCCAGAAGTGCAGGAGGCTCCAAGTCTCTTTGGAGCAGAGAAATCCAAGGGAGACACTGGTCTGGCAAATAAGAGAAAAAAACCAGTGATGACAGATCAAGAAGCCAGAGGGTGGACAGGGAGGGCCTCCCAGTGGGTGGACAGGGAGCCAGTGCAGGGGAAGTTGCTCTGGGTTAGGAACAATGACGGGAGGGCTGCAGGGAGCCAGGAGCCGGGAGCCAGGCTCAGGAACACAGGGGAGCACAGCTGTACCACCAGGGTGTCACCCATTCCCTCCCACTTCCCAATTTCTAGGGCAGCTGATACGCATGTGTAGCACAGATATCTGATGTCTCCAGGGTCTGCTGGCCCTCTCAGGAACGCTGGGGAGAACAAGATCAGGGCTAGAAGGACACCTGCCAGTGCTGGCTGGCTCCTCACCACCTTCTCATCCCATTAGCATTATTGCACCACACCTCCAGGCCCCATGCACTTAGATCAGGTCCACAGGAGCAAGCTTCCAGGTGAATCCGTTTCTAAACCCGCTCCCCTGTCTGGAGCAGGCATCCCACAGCAGCCTGACTAGGCAAACATTCTTCTCACTTGTTCTCCAAGCTACCTTAAGCTCTCATCCAGGCCACAAAGAACCGGCAGCCACCCTTTGCAAACTGTGACTCATCCCTCCTCATATCCTCAGCTTCTTTTGGGAGATGTAGAGACTGCTTTTAGAGGAACAGCAAGAGCCCAAGCAAGGACGAAGTGGCCAGGATGAACAGTTTCAGTACCCTTAAGATGAAGGTTCAATAGCCTTAACTTTCAAGATTAACTTCACCTACATTCCTCAGCCTGAGGAAAGAAGAGTGTGTGGTGTCCTCAATGGCTGGGGGCCAACCAGTCTCAAGGATATAGCTTGAAGCTACACCCTACTAGGAAGCCTGGAGCCCAGGATGTGTGCCTGGGGGGCAGAGTGACCCAGCTGAGCTTGGGCCATCCATTGTGTGAGAAAACATTATTAACTGCTTCCCAGGGGGAGCAGGGCAATATGTTTGACTCTAAATTGGGATTGGATTTAAGGAAAATTGTTATTTTTGTCTCCCGAGTTGAAATTTTTGTCTCCCGAGAAGCCGAGCTTCCACTTGGGCCAAAAGCAAAGTTAAGATTAATGAGTTCATGTGTTATATTTACTGATAAGTTCATTACTCGAAGATATTGGATACCAGTTGTCTTTCTCCTAAAGGACTTTGCAGCAGAGGTGTGGATGGCCTCAATATGCATCCTCCATCTAACAGGCAAAATCATCTTCTTGTAGGAAAGCCTACCCGGTGAGGAAGAACCTGATGCCAGTCAGGGCTTGGGGTAGGGGCACCAGCAGGATGGCAGCAGGATGTGTCTGTAGACATTTTTGTCACCAAGTCCTGACATATTTCTGTACTTTTGGCATCTACAATAAGGGGCAGGAGGACCCCTGCTGCCCCTTCCCCTCCCTTTCTTCAAGATACTAGGATGATTCAGAAGGTCCCAGGGGCTCTTCTCTCCTTCTGACGAATGGTGCTGGCTGAATAAAAGCAGCAGGAAATGGATTACCACTGGAATTAACTTGGCTCCTGGCTCAGCTTAACACCTCATTAGTCAAAGACAGACTGGGGTGGAAGGGAGAGGCTCGGTCTGGCCCCCCTCTCCATGTTTGCGTAGCTTGCATTCTGCCAGCTAGCAGGTGGCCAAGCTGGTGGATGTGAGAGCCCCAGGACTCTGGAAGAGGAAACAGAGACTGACACCCACAGTAGCCACCCTGATATTCCCTCTGCCCTCTATCACAACAGCCACCCTGATATTCCCTCTACCCCCATCACAACAGCCACCCTGATATTCCCTCTACCCCCTATCACAACAGCCACCCTGATATTCCCTCTACCCCCTATCACAACAGCCACCCTGATATTCCCTCTGCCCTTTATCACAACAGCCACCCTGATATTCCCTCTACCCCCATCACAACAGCCACCCTGATATTTCCTCTACCCCCTATCACAACAGCCACCCTGATATTCCCTCTACCCCCATCACAATAGCCACCCTGATATTCCCTCTACCCCCTATCACAACAGCCACCCTGATATTCCCTCTACCCCCTATCACAACAGCCACCCTGATATTCCCTCTACTCTCTATCACAACAGTCACCCTGATATGCCTTCTACCAGCTCAAAACACCTTATTTCTCTGCTTAAGTTCTGTGTACCTGTTAGACACACCTTGACACTTGGCTTGTATTTTTTTTTTTTTTTTTTTGAGACAGGGTCTTGCTCTGTCACCAGGCTGGAGTGCTGTGGTACGATCCTAGCTAACTGCAGCCTCAACCTCCCAGGTTCAAGGGATCCTCCTGCCTCAGTCTCTCAGTAGCTGCGACTACAGGCACGCACCACCACACCTATTTTTTTTTTTTTTTTTTAAATTTTTGTAGAGGAAAGGTCTCACTGTGTTTCCCAGGCTGGCCTCACACTCCTGGCTTCAAGCATTCCTCCCACGTCGACCTCTCAAAGTGCTGGGATTGCTGGCATTTAGAAGGCACCCTCTAATCCCAGCACTTTGAGAGGCCCAGGCGGGAGGAATGCTTTCAAAAGTCCATGCCTGGCTAGCTTGCATTTTTGAAAGGTAAAAACTATTAAACAGCAGATAAATTCTGGGAGCAGTGCTGGTAGCAATGAGAATATATGGCACTGTAATTCACTGGAGAAAAGTCTGGGGGAAGCTCTAGAAGGCTAACTTCCCAAGTTGCTGCAGTGAGGTTATTAGATGGCATAAATTAAGCTCAATTCTTTCTCCTGTCAGGATCATTCACTAAGAGGAAGTTATGTGCTGAAACTTGTCCCAAATGCTGAGCAGATATTATCTACTGACAGCAGCCAATGGTGAAATGCATTTTGGTGTCTAAGGGGGGTTGTCCTGGGTACAGGAGATGGTGGGTAGGGGTGGAGGGGAATGACTGAAGGGTGGGATGAATCTTTATCCTCTCTTCTTGGTACTCACAGATCTGTTTCCAGAAAGTACTACAAATTTTATGAACTTTGGATTGCTCTCTGATTGAATTCTGGGATCCAGGCTGGGCATGAAGAGAGATTTTCAATGATGAGCAGTTTCAAAGCACAGGGGATTCAGAGTCGTGTTAGCTAGGCCAGTCTTAACGCTTCCTCTACACCATTTGTTAGAAACCAGTAAGGGCTTTTCCAGAGAGGGCCAAGGATGGTAGCATCCAGAAGTGATAAAAACACTGAACAACACAGAACTGACCTGCTGAACTATGACGACAGCTCTAGTTTATTATCCGGGGTATCATGTAATTATTTTTTTCCCAGATTTTAAAAAGTTATATAGTATAATCAAATTAAAGCCACATATTCACAGACACTGATCTTTGACAGCCAATGAAAACATACACTGGGGAGAGGAAATCCTTTTCAATAAATGGTGCTTGGAGAATTGGCTTGCCACGTGCAGAAGAGTAAAACTATACCCCTATCCAGAGTATACCACACACAAATCAACTCAAAATGAACTAAGGACTTAAGACCTGAAACTATAAAAACACTAGAAGAAAACCTAGAAAGAACTCTTAGGGACACTGATCTAGGAAAAGAATTTATGACTAAGACCTCAAAAGCACAGGAAACAAAAACAAAAACAGCCAAACAGGACTTAAACTAAAAGCTTCTGCACAGCAAAAGAAATAATGAACCGGGCAAAGGGAAAATCTGGCAAATGGGAGAAAACATCTGAAAACTATTTATCTGGCATCGGACTAATATTGAGAGTACACAAGGTATGTAATGAGGGAAAAAAAATCCTCTCAAAAACTGGGCAAAGGACATGAATAGGCAATTCTCAAAAGAAAATGTACAGTCAACAGGTATATGAAAAAAATGCTCAGCATCACTAATCACCAGAGAAATACAAATCAAAATCACAATGAGATATCTTACCCCCATCAGTATGGCTATTGTTAAAAAGACAAAAAAGTAGCAGATCCTGGTGAGGATGCAGAGAAAAGGGAACTCCCTCTG